GTGGGGGAGCGGTGGCCGAGGCCCTGACCTCTGTCCACCCTCTTCCCCCTCCAGAATGCCCCCCTTTGTCTCCTGCCTCCCTGGGTCTCTTCTGCTCTGGGCGCTGCTGCTGTTGTTCTTGGGGCCAGCGTCTCCCCAGGATTCCGAAGAGCCAGACAGCTACACGGTGGGGACAGTGGGGCCACTGGCCTGGGACGGGATGGGCAGGGACCCAGAGACTAGGACTTCCCTCCTGGTCGGTGGAGCAGCTGGGGGCCATTGTTTGGTGCAGGCCGAAGGGTGGCCAGGCCCAGGCCCTGTTCTTGACCCGGCCAGTTGAAGAAGATCTGAGGGTGATCACTGGCCACATCTGGTTTCCTTCCAGGAATGCACGGATGGCTATGAGTGGGACCCAGACAGCCAGCACTGCCGGGGTGAGTGTGCCTGGGGGACCAGCCACCCCCAGAAACCCGGAAAGGAATTGATTGTGGCTTCCAAGGACAACCCCACCTCTAAGAACCGCAACGGGGCCCAATGGTCTGCCCTCGCCCCAGCCTGTCCTGGCCAAACTGAAGCCAGTTCTGGTGTTCTGGGGGCTTGCTCAACTAGGGGGGACCCTCCCTCTCTGAGAAACCCAGGAAGCCCTAGCCCTGTCCCCAGAGAAGCTGTACCCAGTGCACACTCTTCTGTCCCACTGGGTTTCCTCACAACCTGGGAGGGCAGCGTCCGTGAGGAGGCCTGCAGATCAGTCTGGACTGAGCCAGGGCCAGGACTCGGGGAGGGACAGAGACCCACTGGGAGGCAGGAGAACGGGGTAACTAGGAACAGCTGCCCCACCTCTGGCCCTTTGCAGGCCCTGGGGAGGGGTCCTGAGCAAGCAGCTTCAAGTTTTTGAGCAGAGAGGGCAGGTCACACAGCCTGGAGGAGGCCGAGCTGGGCTCCTGCCTCCACTCGCTCCAGGACCAGCCCGGGAGACTGGCTGTGTCCAGCAGGTCCCTCTCTGCAGATGTCAACGAGTGTCTGACCATCCCTGAGGCCTGCAAGGGCGAGATGAAATGCATCAACCACTACGGGGGCTACTTGTGCCTGCCACGCTCGGCTGCCGTCATCAATGACCTACATGGAGAGGGTCCCCCACCACCAGTGCCCCCGGCTCAGCACCCCAACCCCTGCCCACCAGGCTATGAGCCCGACGATCAGGAGAGCTGTGTGGGTAAGTGGGGGTCACTCTGCACCCAGGCTTCCAGCCCTCTCACCTAGCATCTTAAAAAGTCAGACCTCAAGCCGGGCACAGTGGCTCACGCCTGTAATCCCAGCACTCTGGGAGGCCGAGGCGAGAGGATTGCCTGAGCCCAGGTTCCAGACCAGTCTGGGCAACTTGGCAAGACCTCATCTCTACAATAAATCAAAAAAGTTAACTGGACGTGGTGGTGTGCACCTGTGGTTCCAGCTAATTGAAAGACAGGGGGGCCGGGCTCGGTGGCTCAGCCTGTAATCCCGTGCTTTGGGAGGCTGAGGTGAGTGGACTGCCTGAGCCCGTGTGTTTGAGACCTGCCTGGGCAACTTGGCAAGACCTCATCTCCACAATAAATCAAAAATTAGCCGGGTGTGGTCGCGCATGCCTGTAGTTCCAGCTACTCGGAAGGCTGAGGCGGAAGGATCGCCGGAGCCCAGCAGGTCAAGGCTGCAGTGACCGGGAGTGGCCGGGAGTGGCCACTGCACTCCAGTCTGGGCGACAGAGTGAGACTCCAACTCAAAAAAAAAAAAAAAAGAAAGAAAGACTGAGGGGGATAGCCGGGCTCGGTGACTCAGCCTGTAATCCCAGCACTTTGGGAGGCCGAGGTGAGTAAATTGCCTGAGCCTGCGGGTTCGAGACCAGCCCAGGCAACTTTGCGAGACCTCATCTCTACAATAAATCAAAAATTAGTCGGGTGTGGTAGCACCCACTTGTAGTTCTGGTTACTTGGAAGGCTGAGGTGGAAGGATCGCCAGAGCCCAGCAGGTTGACGCTGGGATGGCCGTGAGTGTGCCACTGCACTCCAGTCTGGGTGACAGAGTCTCCAACTCAAAAAAAAAAGAAAGGCTGAGGGGGAAGGATGCCCCAGCAGATGGAGGCTGTGGTGGCTGTGAGCATGCCACTGCATGGCAGCCTGGGCAACCGAGTGAGACTTTGACTCAAAAAAAAAAAAGACTTCATGTTCCTCCCTGCCTCAAAAATCTCCTGTAGCTCCCCAGAGCCACCGGATGACATCCACATCCCCCTCATCCAAGTCCTCCCATGGTCCCAGCCAGCCCATGGGACCCTCAGCAGGGAGAGACATTGCAAGATCTCTGCCTCCCAGCCTCTGTCCCCTGGGCACCATGGACCTTGGAGGAAGGCGGGTCCGGGCATCAGTGTTGCTGGGGGCGGGGGGGTGGACAGGACCTTGTTTCCTGTCCTCCCAGTATGAGATGTCACAGGTTGATGTGCCTTTCCTGTTGGCTCCAGGCAGGTGAGCCGTTACCTGTGCTGTGGAGGTGCTCTGATCCAAGTGTTGGATCCATCTGTCACGTTGGGTGACGCCTGGGATCCCAGGCGGGGGCTGAGTGGTGTCTCTCACAGATGTGGACGAGTGTGCCCAGGCTCTGCACGACTGTCGCCCCAGCCAGGACTGCCATAACTTGCCTGGTTCCTACCAGTGTACCTGTCCCGACGGCTACCGCAAGGTCGGGCCCGAATGTGTGGGTGAGTCCAGGGAGCGGCCGCTCTGGTCCCTGCTCTATGGCCCTGACTCCCATTCACCCCACCCCAGGCATCCCCCCTGGCCCTTGCCACCTCTGCCCTCCTGTCATCAGACACAGAGCACCGTATGGGGGTGTGTTTGGGGGCTGTCCTGGCTGATCTGGCCCAGTCTAGCTCCTCGGACTGGGGTGGTGAGGTCTCGAGTCCCAGTTGGCTCAGACCCACGTGGCTTCTGCTCCCTGCTGTCCTTCCCCGCCTGATCCCAGACATAGATGAGTGCCGCTACCGCTACTGCCAGCACCGCTGCGTGAACCTGCCCGGTTCCTTTCGCTGCCAGTGCGAGCCGGGCTTCCAGCTGGGGCCCAACAACCGCTCCTGTGTGGGTGAGGCTGGGCCTGGCCAGGCTTCTGGGTCCTGGACCAGGAGGGGTGAGGCGGGGGAGCTCCCTTCCTGACCAACTCAGGTTGGGGGTGGGCGTGGGGCGCTGGGCTGCTCCTCTGCTTTCACCCCTCCTGTTTCTCCCGGCACCCCCAGATGTGAACGAGTGTGACATGGGGGCCCCCTGTGAGCAACGCTGCTTCAACTCCTACGGGACCTTTTTGTGTCGCTGCCACCAGGGCTACGAGCTGCATCGGGATGGCTTCTCCTGCAGTGGTGAGAGCTCCATCCCTGCTGTGTGCTCCTCTGTTTGCCCCCAGGCCCTGCAGGGTGGCATCCTGTCGCACTCTCCTCTGTTTGGTGCCTCCGTGTCCTGTCATTCTGCGCCCACTTCCCTCCTGGGGCACTTCCAGCCTGGGGGAATGCACAGAGGGGGACAGTTAGGTCCCTCTGATGCTCCCTGGGGAGGCGGAGGATGTGGGTGCCACCCTTCTGCGAGTCAGGCTGACGTGCATTTGAATTCTGCACCGGGGAAGCCACTCCTCTCTCTGAGCTTGCTTCTTCTTCTGTGAAATGGGTTGTCTTGAGGATTAAGCGAGACAGTGCAGTGGACAGGCTTTATCAAGTCTCGCGCAGCAGTGATTTAAGGCGAATTGCCCTGGACTGAGAACCCACCCTACGTACTTGGCCTCAGTTCATGCTGTCAACAACCCTGGGTGTTAAGTATGATTTTTTTCCCTCCTCTGCAAAATAACATTAGAATCTCCCTCCAGGTATGTTAAGAGGATTACAAAAAAACAAGCATGAAGTCCTGGATACATCCATGGTGACTTTCGTTATTCAACTAAGTGACTCGCTCGAGTCCAGGAAGCTAGGATGAGATGGGGCCGGGGTTCGACCCCAAACTCTTCACTCCATGTTATCTCACTCTGTACCCTGTTTATGTTGTGCTTTGCTGAGGATTAAGGCCTTGTTGGTACCTGGTAGCATGAGGCACACAGGGACAGAAAGATGGTCTGTGCCTGTGTAGCTCACAGCTGGCAGGAGGTGACAGTTGGGCACTTGGGCTTATTGTGGGTTGCAGGAATTGGGCACGTTCTTGACAAACAGGTCAGGCTAGGCCTCAAGACTCACCTCGTCTAACCCACTCCTTTTACTGATAGGGAAAATGAGGTTCCCCAAAATCAGCCAGAAGAATTCACACCAAGTCTCTATAGAGTCCCAGTTCTCTCTCTCTTTTTCTTTCTCTCTTTCTTTCTCTCTCTCTTTCTTTCTTTCTTTCCCTTTCTTTCTTTCGTCCTTTCTTTCTTTTCTTGAAAGCAGGATTTATTGAGAGGACAGAAAAGCTCCCACAGTGGGAGGGGACCCAAGGGGGTTGCTCAAGTCCTAGTACTTTTATTATGATTTTATTTTATTATTTTATTTTATTTTTGAGTTGGAGTCTTACTCTGTTACGCAGGCTGGGGTACAGCGGCACACTCACGGCCACCGCAGCCTTGGCCTGCTGGGCTCAGGCAATTCCTCCACCTCAGCCTTCCAAGTAGTTGGAACTGTAAGCATGCGCCACCATGCTCAGCTAATTTTTTTATTTGCTATAGAGATGAGGTCTTGCCAAGTTGCCCAGACTGGTCTCGAACCCATAGGCTCTGGCAATCCTCTCACTTTGGCCTCCCAAAGTGCTGGGAATATAGACATGAGCCACTGCGCTCGGACTATTACTATTTTCTTTGAGTCCTGGGGCAAAGAGAGACCTATGAGCTGGAAAGTCTGGGCAGACCTTTCCTTGAGCCCTCTGTCTCCCTGCTGAACTTTGCAGGGCTTACCCCCGCCACCCCCGCCACCATCTTCCTACATTCAACCCAGCATGGGGCTGGGCTCTCTCAGTGAACGTTTGTGGAACCGAATCATGAGGCTTGCCCTTGGCCTAGGGTCCTCACTCTCTCTCTTCCTCAGATATTGATGAGTGTAGCTATTCTAGTTACCTCTGCCAGTACCGCTGTGTCAACGAGCCAGGCCGCTTCTCCTGTCAGTGCCCACAGGGCTACCAGCTGCTGGCCACACGCCTCTGCCAAGGTACAGGCTGCCGGGGTGGGATGGACAGGATGGTGTCAGGGGCTGGTGGCCTGATGTCCCTGATTCCAGCCCCTCTCCCCTGGCCCAGACGTTGATGAGTGTGAGTCTGGTGCACACCAGTGCTCTGAGGCCCAAACCTGTGTCAACTTCCATGGGGGCTACCGCTGTGTGGACACCAACCGCTGTGTGGAGCCCTATGTCCAGGTGTCTGACAAGTGAGTTGATGCAATACTGGCCCCACAGAAACTACAACTCCCAGAGGGCTTTGGGGCTGAATGGCATCTAGTCAGACAGGCAGGTGCCCAAGGGCTGATGGGAATTGTAGTTCTTCATGACTAAGCCACACAAACTTAAAGCAGGTGGGAGGATTCTTTTGGAATTCCCTCCTTTGGGTGAAACTTGGGGAATGAGAGAGGCCCTCGCTCATGTCTCTCATCTCGGGGTCTCCAGCCGCTGCCTCTGTCCAGCCTCCAACCCCCTGTGTCGAGAGCAGCCTTCGTCCATCGTGCACCGCTACATGACCATCACCTCGGAGAGGAGTGTGCCCGCTGACGTGTTCCAGATCCAGGCGACCTCGGTCTACCCGGGCGCCTACAATGCCTTTCAGATCCGCGCTGGAAACTCACAAGGGGACTTCTACATAAGGGTAAGGCCTTCCCCTGTCCCTGTTCCTCAATACACAGGCATAATCTAAAATTGAATTCCAGGAAGCCTTAAAGAGGAGACTGGGCCATGCCACTGTGCCCCACCCCTTCTCTCAAAGCCCTGCCCTCTGGAGGCGGGATTTTCGTAGGAAGAGGGGGTATCGGGAATTCCTAGGGTACAGATTGGTTTTTTTAATTTCCTCGTTTTTGAGTAGGAGTCTCACTCTGTCGCTCAGGCTGGAGTGCAGTGCCATGCTTACAGCCATCACAGCCTTGACCTGCTGGGGCTCAGGTGAACCTTCTGCCTCAGCCTTCCAAGTAGCTGGAACCACAGGTGCATGCCACCACACCTGGCTAATTTTTTGACTTAATTGTAGAGATGAGATCTCACCAAGTTGCCCAGGCTGATCTCGAACTCATGGACTCAAGCAATCCTCTTGTCTCTGCTCTCCCAAAGTGCTGGGATTACAGGTGTGAGCCACCATGCCAGCCTGGGTACAGATTGTTAACGAGGCACTTGGGGACCTCTGGGGTTGAGTCCCAGGACTGGTTTTTCCTAGCTGATCATTTCTTCACCCACAAAACAAGGGAACGGCATATGCAGGGCCCTGGAGTCAGAGAATCCAGCTCTCTGCTGGGGGAGCAGTTAGGGGGGAAGCACCCAGGTGTGGCTCACAGTGAAGGCAGTAGAAGGGTCTCAAACTCTTGGCCCTTGTGCTGTACATTCAGCATGAGAAGGGGTTTGTCTGGTATCAGCACTTGCTGTTTCTTTTTGAAACTGAATGTGCTGGAGTCTGACGGCTCTGGGTCACTAAAGACCCCACTGCTCTCAAGAGCTCCACCTAGTCTTGAATCCTGAGTCAACCCCAGTTAGACAGAACTAGCTGGAAAGGGTGGGAAGCACACCAGTGGGAAACCTCTGGGAGCAGGATCCTGGGTGCACGAGGCGAGGGAGGACGTCCAGGGTGTCAGAGACCCAACTGAGAGCCTGGGTCACCGTGGGGTCAGAGCTGCCTCTCCATCTCACGGCCCCGGGGCAGGGGGGTGATGCCGAAGTAGGGGCCTGGCACCTAGGCTGACACAATCTCCATGTCCCCCCACCCACTGTGCCCTGCAGCAAATCAACAATGTCAGCGCCATGCTGGTCCTCGCCCGGCCAGTGACGGGCCCCCGGGAGTACGTGCTAGACCTGGAGATGGTCACCATGAACTCCCTCATGAGCTACCGGGCCAGCTCTGTACTGAGACTCACCGTCTTCGTGGGGCCCTACACCTTCTGAGGAGGGGGGCCCTCCCTGCATCCCCCCATAGCTGAGGAGCCTGGGCTTAGGGATGTCTGTGTCCTGCTCAAAGGGAAGACTTGTGAAGGGCAGAAAGAAAGGCAATAAAGAGAGAAAGGAGGAGTCCTGGTGGCTGAGGTGGGCGGGTCACTGCAGCAAGCCTCCGGCTGGGGAAGGACCAGCCTCGTGGGAGGCGGGCCACATCCAAAAGGGGCTCTGAGCTCAGGCCGAGGGGGCCCCATGGTTGGGGGCTGGGAGCCACATCCCACGGGCTTCCAAGTCACCCTGAGAGGGGCGAAGGTGATGAGTTGTGCAGACTCCAGGCCCCAGCCCAGAGATTTGGACTTGGCTGGTTTGCAGGGCTCCTGAGAAACCCCTCTGGGTAGCACCACAAGGCCCTGCATGTATTTGGATGAGCCCTCGTAGCTCCCGGGCCTGTTTTCCAATCTATAAAGTGGGACAACTGGACTGTTAGTGGTTTCAGGCTTTTCTTTTCCAAGGTACAGAGCCTTTTATCAGAGGAAGTTTTATTCGATCAGGGACCCCGATTCCATAAAGCAGGTTTGAAGGTGCACTGCCCCATTGACTCCACCTCCCTGACCAGGGAACCGGTGGCAGAACCCCTGGACCAGATGGTCTCCCTGGTTCCTGCATATTTCACAAGGCCCCTGGGCCTGGCATCTCCAAAACACATATGGCTGCAAACACTTAGCTTTTTATTGTACCCCAAAAGATCCTGGTTAAAAGGCTGACTGGTCCGGGAGGGAGGACGATGCTTAGGTCAGGGGGCTATGGCTGCAGTACAGCTGGGACAAGGTTCGGCTCAGAGCAGGCCCCAGATTCCTGCAGGAAGACAGGCAGATGAGGGTCAGACCCTGGGCCTCGGGCAGCCAGACCCCCAGCCACCCCCCAGGTTCTGCCTCCTGCCCTCACCTCTGCAGACGCCCACACTTGATGGTGCTCAGAAGCATCTCCTGCTCCTTGGGGGTGGCGCAGGCATCGTAGGCGGCCAGGAGGCTGCGGGTGGGGTGTGAGTTTCTGAGAGTTGGTGATGGCCGACTGCCGGCCCACTCTGAGTGGCTCTTGGCCAGCACCATGGGGGACGAGGCAGGAAGGGGTCGGCATGGGGCAAAGAAGTCTGAACTGCCGCACTTCCTGAGCCCAGTATTCAAGGCCTCTGCCCCAGCCCGCCTGCTCTCCCTCCCTGAGTCGGGACAACTGGGGCAAAGGCAGCAAAGGCTCCAAACACTCCTCTAGTCTTCAGGGCCCAGCCCCCTCCTCCAGGAAGCGTCTGCTCCACCAGGTAGAACATCTTCCTCCTTCCTATGGCCTCCCCCAGTGCCTGGAAGACTCTCTGGTCCTGGCTGGCTGTGTTCCTCCTCACTTGACCTCCATGAACTCCCTGGGGTTTAGCCAGATCTGTCCAGCGCTGAGTCTGTACTGCCCAGAGCCAGGCTCCCCTCCACAAAGCATTGGTTCAACTGAATTCCATGCAGGGAGGCAGGGCTGAGGACCACAGAGGGGCAATCCAGAGGGCCTACCTGGCAGGGGTGCTGTATTGATCCACCAGGGCCGCAGCCTTCTCCCCACTTACTCCGCGCACCTGCATCAGCTGCCGGGCAAACACCTCTCGCACCGACTGGGCCTAGGATTGGGGAAGGGCTGCAACAGGTGGTCTGGGATCAGGCCACGCAAGGAGAGGTCGGGCGGAGACAGTACCTTGTTCTTCATGGCTCCCGTGTTGAAATCACTGAAGGTGAGGAGTGAGCAGAGAGGATTTGGGGAGGGCTTGGCCCCTGATTCGGGGTTCCCTGGGGTTCCCCAGGGGCGGCTGCACAGGGTGTGGCCCTGAGGGAAGAAGGGACTGAGGCCAGGCTGGAGCTCTAAGGGACAACTCCCAGCCAGTCCTCGTCCAGTCCTAGGCCTCAGGGGGGCCAGCCTGAGAAATGGGGATCTCACCCACCTTGCCTCCTATGGGGATGCACAGGGCCAAGGTCAGGGACCAGCAACAGACAGGTACATCTGCTCACCTGATAAAGTCTCTGCAGGCCCCGCGTCAAGAGAGCCAGGTAGGCAGCTGACTCCTTAATGTCTGCTGTGCGCTTCACGAAGAAGCCATCAATGACCTGGGGAAGAGGACCCAAGAGCGAGAGGGTGGCTTCTGGCTCGGACCATGGACCACAGGGGCCCCTGCCAACTGGCCCTGGTCTCTCTGCTCACCTGAGTGTTGGTGACAGCCTGTAGCAGGGTGCTCTCAGGGAGGCTGAGGTTGTGGACTGAGCCATGCTCCTCCACCAGGTACACCCGGCGCTCCAGGCCACAGCGCTTCAGCCGGAACTGGGGAAGTGGACAGAGGGGGCAGGAGGGTCAGGCTGGATGCCCACATGCCTGGGCTGTCCGTCACGTCACACTCAAAACTGTGATGGGACCCCTTTTCCCGCCAGTTAGCCTTCTCCTCCTCCTCTTCCTCCTCCTCCCTAGCCTCTCCACCTGTCTCTGAGAGGCCTCCACACCTTTGCTTGTGCTAAGGTGCTTTGTATCCTAGCCTGGAAAGCCCTTCCTCCGTCTCTGGAAGCTGCCCATCCTTCAAGTCATGTGGCTTCTCTGACTATGAGGCACCAAGGTACAGACTCTGCAGTCCCACTCCTGGAGGTCTGGGCCTTGTTTATCTAAGGCTGCAGGTCTGGGTATACCAGGTGGTCTTTTTTTTTTGAGTTGGAGTCTCTCTCTGTCGCCCATACTGGAGTGCAGTGGCCGCTCTAGGCCACTGCAGCCTCGACCTGTTGGGCTCCGGCAATCCTTCCGCCTCAACCTTCCGAGTAGCCAG